TAAAATTAAATTAAATTATAAAATAAAATAAAAAATAAAAAAATTTTAAAAAAAGACATGTTTGTCTTCCTGGTTTAGATTTGCCTCTCTAATGGCCTATTACCTCTATCACTACTTTCTTAGGAACTCATTCTCACACCGTTTTCTTCTTTTAGTTGGTAGGTTTGTCTCTTGCAAATATCTTTCTCAATTCAAGCATTAACACACCATCTTTCCCCTTCCATTTTGAAAGGAGGGTATCATTATATTGTAATTAAATTAATCACTTAAAAATGGCATTTGGACACTTTGAGGTGATCCTTCCCAACAGAAAATGTGAAACCTTTACAAGAGCAGGTAGTACTAACTGTTTCTGTCACTAGGGCATATCCAGATGTCCTGGGCCCCTTCTTTTAACCTATCATTGAGCTCTGGGACTGGTCTACTTGGGCTCAAATCCTAAGGAGGACACTATTCTTCTGATCAGTTTCATCTTTCAGCTAGCATTCATCCCATCTCAAGATGGATGGCAACACACAGACTTCATACAAGTTGTCATGAAAAGTAAAGAAACAACGTGTGAACATGGAGCATTTAGCTTGAAGACTGGCACTCTCCCTGTCTTCATATTCTCCCTCCACCTTACAACTCAGTCTTCAGTAGTACACAGGTCTCATCAGTAGTGGATGGACTTTTGCAGCTGTGGATCTTTCCCATTGCATAATCTTCTTTCCCATTCGTTTTTTTCCTTAAAACCAAAACATCTGCAAATGTTCTACACGAAGAAATCTATTCCCCCTCTTAATGCCCTTACTTACAGGTCAACTAAAATAGTCAAATGCTACTCAATGCCATGCTTTTAAAATAGAATAAGAAATAACACCATAAACTTCATAGTGGGCCCTTTTAAACAACAAGGGAGCCTCACTGCCCTGCAGACTGAGAGATGGTATTGTTCACAGAAAGTGGGCTAGCTCAGGATGGGGGCCAGGAGCTACAGTTAGCTGTGCTATGAAAACCGTGCTTAAGTCAATTCCCTTCCAAGCACAGCACTCTTTTCTCCCACCTGCCCATGCCAGCATTGGTAAAGAAGAGAGCCGGGCTTCATTTGCTGAAGGGTTTATTGTATTTAATTTTTTTCCATTTGACCTTTTAAAAAACAAAGTTCTATATATTAAAGCAAATAATCAAAATTATCACTATAAACTTTATCTAATTATTATTGTTGGGTTTATTGTCTATAGGAAATTATCAAAGTCATATGCTAAAGGCTTCTCCGGAACGAATGTTTATAGCTCATATGTCATGATAAATCCATTTAATCAACATGAAACGTAAACATGAGAGAGCATTTAACCACATATAATGAGACTTTTAACTTGTAAAAGTGGGTCAGCCATATAGGTCAATTAGTGAGCAGATGAGTATGTAATCAAAATTCACACTAGTTTCCCATCCCTGTTCCTATTAGATCCTTTATACAGCTTCATGAAGAGCAAGAACAGTGGAGAAAAACTGTCCAAGCTATCAGTAAACATACAAAACTCACCAAGGAAACAGAGTGTGGGGTCAAAGGAAAGATAGAGTAAGGACCAGAGAGAAAGACAGATGACCTCAATATTCCAAGTTGGTGGTGGCCAAGGGGGACCTCATCAAAACTCCCGGCCTCAGTAGTTCAGTTAAAGAGGTGAGTCTACATAGGAGTTAATCATTAGGTACGGCCTCCCAGGGTTCCCCCATCATAGCCCATGCAACACAGAAATACAACATGAAGTCCTAGAGTCCTGCATGCTTCTTCCTCCCTGTTAAGGTCCAAACACAACCTTCTCTGAGCCTTCTGTAAAGACCTAGTTCCAAATAGTGCTCATGTCTGTGGCATTGTCTTCATTGGCCACTGGCAGCCTCCTGTCCTTCATGTGAGACACCCCAGAGGTCACCTTACTTGGGCCTCTCCTTCCTCTTGCCCCAACCACAGGTTCATCCCACCTTTGTGTCTCTCTGTGTTCCTTTTCTGTACCTATCTGCCATATTGGACTCCTATGTGTCTGAAAGGGACAGGCAAAATCTTTGACAACTGGTCAGCAACAGCAGGGCCCTATCAGGGCACACGCTACCACTCCATGCAAGTGTGGAGTGATCGCCTGTGGACATGAGGGGAGGTGTCTATCTAACAAAGTGTTGGCAATGCCAAGTGCATGGGAAAAGCCTAACCAATGTTTGTTGATGGAATAAATGAGTCTTAGGTGACTGCAAAGAAAATTGCTTTCTGTTTACAGTGGCATTGCTTTCCCATTGCCACAACTCCCTGTCCAGAGTCTGGATTTGTATCTCACACTCAGTAAAATGCAATATATATATATGCTCATATATGCATATATATTATTTTAACTATAAAGGCCCTTATAGGTTTAAGAAAACAAAAATCGATGAACTCTAGGACGAACTCTAGATAATCATAAACCTAGTGCCATAGGGAATAGCATCCCCCAGTCCCACCCCTAGAAACCCATCTTCCCATATTTCACTCACACAAGTTCCAGCTACCTTTTCCAAATTTAACCATCCCAAGAGATGACATTTTAAAATAGCCATTGTTTTATAAGAATGTTGTGATTTTGTTTCCTCTGTTGAGACAGGATCTCCCCGTGTAGCTCTGGCTGACCTGGGATTCTCAATCCTCCTGTCTCAGCCTCCTGAGTGATAGATTACAGGCACACACAACCACACCTGTCTCAAATAGCTGCTGAATTAGGATATGTTCTCTTGTGTTGCTGGGAGTTAATTAAACTGTCAAAAGCTTGTTTTAAGAACACATAATGAATGACATTTTCTCTGAGGATGCCAAAAACTAAAATAGGAGCTATCTACCACGTCACACAGCAACCTCACTCTCGGGGCTGAGCTGTGAGATCTCAAGTAACCTTCATTTAAGGGCAATTAATTCTAAGGGGAGCTCCGAAATGAATCTAAGTGTGAGACCTCACCTGGTACCATACAGAATTCTCAGCTGACAGTCTCCTAGCCTGCCTTTGTATCATACGCCAGACTGCAATTCATAATTCATGAATGGAGCCTTTGCTAAATACAACGTGTATTTTGTTCACTTTTGGGATGTTCACATAGTGTGTTGTAGAGCGGGGGGAGACATTCCCAGAAGCAACATCCAACAGCCTATAGCCATAAAATATTGCAATAATAGAAAGCTCTGTTGTACTACATGAAAAGGGAGTTCATGAAGCCATTCAGGTTAGGGACTCAGTTCTTTCGTGCTCAAAGGAGAAATCTTTCAGTTATACAAAAGCTTAAAAGGAAGGTGGGGTCCAAAGCAAGACCTTAAGTCTTGTGCTCAAACACTTCCCGCCATGTCTGATTTCCAGCAGGAAGGTTTTGAAGATATATTAGAGACCCAGAGAAAGGTAATTCTACTTCAAAGTGAACAACAAGAAAAGAGGGCCAGACACTCACAACATGCTGTTGTTGTGACTGTCCAAGGGGCTTAGTAGACAAAAACACAGGCTGGCTCTCATGGGGTTTGAATCTGAAGGTGTATTTCTACTCAGCAACGAGGAGTTGTTGCCTTTACTTATGAAGTTAGATTTGGGCAGGGGAGGCAGGAAGTGAAAGAATGAATGAACCAAATCAAAGGTGACCTTGGAGAACTCAGATGTGAATATGAAAAATCCCTTTGCTTTAGAAGAACTGACAAAGAGGTTATTGTCCTACTTTCCAACACATGAGGGACAAGAGAATATGAGCTTTCTTAACTGATGGATATTCAGTTGCTCGTGTCCTGTGGTCCATCAGGACACACATTTACCAAGTTGTCTGTACTTCTACCTTAAACACTAAATGCAAATAAACTTCCTCCAAAGTGGTCAGGATAATGTATCTTTAATTGAAAAGAAAACAATATTGTACCAATTGTGTTAAGATTAACCACAGACAGGCTTGATGTCATGATAAAAAACATGCATCTTGAAGATCAGGTTTTTTAAAAGGTCAATATGCAGTCAAATATATAATTTGAATTTTTTTCTTGTCACTTAATTTGTTCATTGTTGTATAACCCAAATATTTTATAAAAATTTATTGCAAATAAAATTATTTTAATTTGCATTTTAAGTAATAAATCACTCAAAAACATTGGCATTTTGCCTCTGTGCAATTGACATTGACTCAGTAAACCGATGAACAATGTCAATGATAGTAATAAATTATTAGAAAATATAAATAATAAAATGTGGTTATTGGATATTTATGTCAGAAAAAATATATAGTGGTTTACCTTATTGAGCACGCTGTTGCTTTTACTTGTGCCTGGCTGATTTGAAATCAGTTAAACAGCTCTACATTTTTCAAGTCACAAGTACATTCTGATTAAAGCCTGTGTAGGCTACCCATGGCCGTTCGTTATTTTCATTCATTAAAACAGCTTCTATCATTCGTGACATCTTGTAATAATGGGAAAGAAAATCTTGAAACAGTAAAGACAGAGTCAGACTCTTCAGATGAATAATGTATCAGAACGGAAAAGCCAAAGCTAAATGGTCTCAGAGTGCAAGCTGAAGAGGAGTGGTCCTTCCAGCACGGTCACCCATCTCGTCTCTAGCTCTCTTTAATCCTGTGGTTACATTCCCTGTTGCATCACGTAGTTATCTAGAGACCTCGCCAAGCAGACTGGCAGCTGTGTGTGGGTTGCCTAATTACAGTACCCTGAGATTTAGCCACTTGGTAGCCAGTTTTCTCTTTATGAAAGAAGGCCTAATAATGATTTCTGTAATTATCATCATTATTAATACCTCAAAGGTAGCCCCACCCAGAAATGCTGGGAACTGGTGGGATAGGACATGGGTGGGGTCAGTATGTTCCTTTAAATACTGTGATCAAGGTGCAGACTTCCTTCTCTGAAGGCAGTTGTGAAGTGTTCTCTGATTATCCATTCTCTTTCTTGCACATCTGAATCTAGAACTTACCTCTATTCAACTTCTGTTCATCCATCTGGAAGATCCTAGCCAGCAACCATGATTGATGATGATTTGTCTGCCTTGGTAGTAGATAACGGGTCTGGGATGTGCAAGGCAGGTTTTGGTGGTGATGATGCCCCTCGGGCTGTGTTCCCCTCCATGGTGGGGCGTCCCCGACACCAGGGGGTCATGGTTGGTATGGGCCAGAAGGACTGTTACGTGGGAGATGAGGCCCAGAGCAAGCGAGGCATCTTGACCCTGAAGTATCCCATTGAACATGGAGTTGTCACCAACTGGGATGACATGGAGAAGATCTGGTACCACACTTTCTATAATGAGCTACGCGTAGCGCCAGATGAGCATCCTATTCTTCTCACTGAGGCACCGCTCAATCCCAAGATCAACCGGGAAAAGATGACTCAGATCATGTTCGAGGCTTTCAACACACCTGCCATGTATGTAGCTATCCAAGCTGTACTGTCCCTGTACGCTTCGGGAAGGACTACAGGTATCGTGATGGATTCTGGGGATGGGGTCACTCACACTGTGCCCATCTATGAAGGTTATGCTCTGCCCCATGCCATTCTACGGCTGGATCTGGCAGGCAGAGACCTGACTGATTACCTCATGAAGATCCTGACGGAACGAGGCTATAACTTCACTACCACAGCTGAGCGGGAGATTGTGCGGGATGTCAAAGAGAAGCTGTGCTACGTAGCCCTGGACTTTGAGCAGGAGATGGTCACTGCAGCGGCTTCATCCTCCCTTGAAAGAAGTTATGAGCTTCCTGATGGGCAGGTGATCACCATTGGAAATCAACGCTTCCGTTGCCCAGAAGCCATTTTCCAGCCTTCCTTTCTAGGCATTGAGTCCAGTGGGATCCACGAGACAACATTCAACTCCATCATGAAGTGTGATGTGGATATTCGCAAGGATTTATATGCCAACACTGTGCTGTCTGGAGGCAGCACCATGTACCCAGGTATTGCCGACAGGATGCAGAAGGAAATTGTAACCTTGGCACCAAGCACCATGAAAATCAAGATCATAGCTCCCCCGGAACGCAAGTATTCTGTTTGGATTGGGGGCTCCATCCTGGCCAGCCTGTCCACATTCCAGCAGATGTGGATCAGTAAGCAGGAATATGATGAAGCTGGTCCTCCCATTGTTCATAGAAAATGCTTCTGAATGGGCTTCCATGTCCCTTTTTCTAGGTCAAAATGATGGTACCCATCTCATCCAGTAAAATTAAGGTAAACAGTTTACTTCCTATTGAATATACAAGCCAACAAATCCATGTCTCCATTCATGTATCCTGAGCTATGACACAGCTAACCACCCTGTGGTTTCTATCAGCTGAGGGAATTCTGATATCATATTCTATTTTCTATGCCTGTAGGGCTCAAAGAAATATAGACTTGCTTACGTGAAAATATGTGGCAAGGAGCAAAATCATGAGGAATATAATTGCAGAGTGCATACTACAATTTCCAAGCTTTAAATCTAGTTCCTGCTAAAATATTCAACAGCACTCTATACAAACCTGCAATATAAAAGTTTAGCAACTAGGTCTTATTAAGTCTTTTTATTTGTTTACTTCTTTCTACAGATATAATGAATTTTACAGGTCAATTGTTCTCTATACCCACATATGCATCAGGGGAGTAAAATATTACATCTTAAAATATAATAATGCATTTGGCTGACTGAACAACTTACGTGAATTTCTTTGCTTACCAATAGTCAACATCATTTTAGTAGTTCTGTATTTCAATTAATTGCTTTATTAAATAAGCATAACTAAATAGTCACCGTTCCATTAGTGTATATAAATCAAATAAATTTTCAACTCAAGGTGGAGCTCTGTTGGTCAAACATATCTTAATGCCTTAGTTACTGGATTTCATCATACTCATGAAACAGCAACCCTACAGATGATACCTGATTTTTTTTTACATAGAAAGATATTGTTATACCGAGTTAATTTTGTTCTGCTACAGGGTGACAAGAATAATTTTATTTGCATTTCTTAGCATAATAACGAGTCTTGAATAATAGCTGTTGGCCTTGATTTTGGAGATTTCTATTATGCAAGATGTCACTATGGGGAAATACAGCCCTAGTTCCTTTGTAAGCAATAAATCTTGGTAGAAGTTCAGTAACCTCAAGTGCATTCTTGGAAAGGTTTTGTTGTAGCTCTTCTTTATTACATCCAGCGACTGGAAATACTTGTTTATGCGCATGTCTCTGAGATAGTAGCTTCTCAAAAAATATCTGTTTCTTTCTACGATGTTTGTGATGTTTTAATGAACCCAGGGGTGATTTAAGTGTGACCGTGTCTTCTTCCATCTATGCTGTGATTTCTGATTATTTGGTTATCAGGGTTATTTATATTTTTCATGTTTTTATCTAAAAATGTAAAATGTTTATTTGCTTGTGAAGATACTTTCAGATACTTGGGAGGGAGGAATCTCTTCTTTCGTATTCGTTTGGAAACTAATATGTTTAAACATTCAAATTGGAATCTTTCACCAATTTTGATTAAGATGGAACTTTTCAAATAACTTGATTAGTTCTTATTTCCTTTAACAGTTAATGTAATTTTTAATCTGCAAAGGCACTTTATGTTACAAGACTTGCTTTTCATTTAATTTCATTACAATAGAATTACATCATACTTGTATTTTGGATTTCCTGTTATTTCCCCTTACTCCTTCCCAAAGAAAAGAAGAGTGACTCAGAAGACCATGCTGCCTATGCATGACCTGCTCATCCCCATGTTACTCATCCTCATCCTGTACCTCCTACATTTGGTCCTGTAAAGTTAAAGGTCACTTTTTAAATAGCTAGTCAGATACATTTATAGATTCCTCATAATAGTAAGGTCTAGTGGATGACCCGGCATTCAGTAATTAAGTTAGAGATAATAACAGCATAATAACATCCTGGCTTTATTGCTATGACGCTTCTCATCTACAGAGTGAGGAGTCCTCACAAATATTCTGACCTACATTCTGAATTACTAGAAAGAAAGAAAAACCAAAACCTGTGCCTCCACCCATGGAAAGTTTCTGGAATAGATGAGATGAACTCTCAGGGGAATAAACTACAGAACTCCAACATTAGATGGACGTGTTGACCCTGTAAGGCAAACAGAAATTTAATCTTGAGTCATTAGATATGCTATTCATATACATGGATTGCTTGACTGATGTCTTCAATCAGGGCTCAGTCCATCTCATAGCTTTACAATTTGGAATCAATGTCCTGTGCTTAACCAGTATAATTGGACTGTTATTTGGCAGTGGTTCACTAGCCTGGCTCATCAACCATATTACTCAGAGAACCTTTTACAAAGATAGATTCCCAAGCCCAAGACTCAAAAATTCTGACTCAGGAGGTCTAGGGTAAAGACGTAGGATCCCAAAGTGCAACCAGCTAGAAGAATCACATTAGTTTGTCTAAACATCTGAATTGGAATCTTTAACCAATTCTGATTAAGATCCATGAAGACTAAGAACGTAAAGCACATTACAGACCCGAAGATGAGGAAGGCGTTTGGATGCCATAACAAATGGCTTTGCCCTTCCCCCATGCTGCATCCTGAGTAACAATGCAGGTGGTGCTGTCTGTTTCCCCAGAGAGTAGTTCCCCCAATCATAGGGAATATTCCTCTGAAAACATGCCTGATCCCAAGTGTCTCTGGTGTGTAGATATGCTCATTTAAAATAGTGAGATAAAATAGTCCTGGGATAAAGTTTGGACTACGACCTAGACACACAATTCCAAGTTCTCTAATTCGAAAGGGCTCAGGTGTGAGGACTGCAGTTCCAAGATGAACCAAGAATAATCCTTCGGGTGACGAGGACTTGACACATTCATTCACTAATTTCCCAATTACTTCATTCCCTCATGCCTTATGTGACAGGGTACAAGGGCAGTGTGTCAAGGGGAGTGGGGGATTTATAATACAGTAGTGAGAGAAACAATGTGGAATAAAAAGGTGTGTGTATAATCTGAGATAAATTCACTAAGTAAACACAGGTCATTGTCACTCATGTGAGGACACTTAAAAAATTAGAAGATTAGGGCTGACAGAGTGGAGGCAACCCTAAGTTGTCCTAAAGCACACACAGGTTATACTGAACACAAAAATTTAGATGGCTTAGGCAACATTATGAACACTGTCTAAGGGAGTAATAGTTATTAATTCATTTTTTTTTAATTTGTTGAGACAGGGTTTCTCTGTGTAGCCCTGGCTGTCCTGGAACTCGCTCTGTAGACCAGGCTGGCCTTGAACTCACAGACATCTGCCTGCCTCTGCATCTGAGTGCTGGGATTAAAGGCATGTGCCATCACGGCCTGTGGAGTTATTAATTGTTAATTTAAGTGTTTCCATTGGCAGAAACAGGAAAAAAGCACTCAACCTTTAAGGTTATGTTCAAGTGTCACCTCTTCCGTGGAGCCTTGTGGAGCCAAAGTAAAGTGACAAACAAGATCCTCTGCTGTGTTCCTAACGCACTGTTTATATGCTCTTCCCAGGCCTATGTCCACACTCGCCCACACACCGTCAAAAAACACCTGGAGGACAGGATCCATAGACAGTGTTTACCCACCTTTGGGTTCTCCTAGTGCTGGTCATACAGAGTAATCCAACACACATGAATGACTTGTGGATTCTGCAGTACCTCACAAACACCACCCTCCACATGGCTGGATCCATGCTGCCCAAGCCCAGCTTCCGTCTAACAGCGTTTGTGCTCCCTCACAGGCCTATTTTCTACCTTCTTCCTCTCTTCTCTTTCCTTTTCTACCCACCACTCTTCAATGTAAGAGGCTGGATTTGAACCGCCCTTTGCTTGTCAAACAATCCATCAGCACTCTCTTCCAAACTATGTGCTAGTCACATGGCTGCTGAGACTTTGAAAGCGAGTGGGGGAACAAAGGAAGGAAGAAGGATTGGGAGAAGGAAGAAGAAAAGGAGTAAGACAGAGGGTAAGGAAAAGGCAGAAAGAAACATGGCGAGACTAGGGGAGAAAGAGGGAGGGGGACATCATTCCCTGAGTGCAGCGGTACCTTTAGCTCTTTTAATGTATTTGCATTCTTGTTGATAACTTCCTCTGCTCGCTTTTCAGCCCCCCATTGTCCTAGAGTTGAGAGCTTCAGGTGTCCGACTCTGCAGTAACTCAGAACACTGTAAAGCATTGAAAAGTTTTCGGTTGACTATTTGTAGCCTCTAGTTTACAAAACATTCCTTTCAAAGATGTTTGAAGCTAAGAACTAAACATGTGGCTTTCCCAATACAGCTTCCAGATGTTGATAAGTCCATTTGGAATGACTGTAAGGGCAAGGGCACACACGCAGGCACACATGAGCAGAGCATGGATACCTTAACACTTCCTTTTTAAATATGAAAGGAACTGTCTGAACTATAATTGTCATTTTTTTAAGCTATCCCCATAAATGGTGACAATTCTAGTGATTTGCCTGCCTTGTTTGGCAGCCTATTAAAAATTTGCAATCCAAAGTAGCTAATGACTTTAAGTTATAAATAGAAGTGTCAATATGATGCGATGGTAGATGTTTTATCCAGACAACACACCTTCATACCTTTTTCTAACTCCTGTCGATCAGCATTTACCTCTTTCTTTAGGTATTGAGAAATTTGAGCACCTGAAACTCTTCATTGGGCATTTATTTAGCAGCATGTAAAGTCAAAGCCCTATTATTCTCTCTAGCTTTGGAAATAAGGCCTTTGGGCCACACATAACCCACATGACACCATATCTGAAGACGAAGGAAATAGACAAACAAGCAAGATGAGGATTATTAGAGCTCTCACTCAGATACCCTTCATGGTCACATGGTGCTAGGGAAAGCTTTTCTTGGCTATGTTACTGCTTGGGGGTAAAACAGGGAACGTAGGCATCAACACTGATGTAACTTCCTAGTCCCATTCCTCCGCTCTGCGTGTTCCCTGTGACCCCCTCAGAGAGGCACCACTGGGCATATGCAGCAACTCTTCCACTCTAGGGTGGGAAAAAATTCATAGACTACTCACAAACAAATGAATGTGACTAAGTTGTCATAATTTTCATTTTTATTTACTAAAATGGTGATGAGCTGAATTCAGCCAAGAGGCAATATTTAAAGAAATGAATTGTTTTTGTGTGATCTTTAATTCATAC